CCTGTGTATTGTTTTTAACTTTAGAAACTTAGTGAATACTTTCATCCAGTCTAAGAAGCCTAATTTTGTATCAGTAAAGGGCCCAGCCATTGGACTAGAAGCATCCATATTGTCTCTTTGTGATGTGGTTTGGACTAAGGAAAAGGCTTGGTTCCAAATACCCTGTACCCCCGTAGGACAGGATTCAGATGGCTGCTCTACTGGTATCTTTCCCAAGGATATAGGAGGCACATCTGTGAGTACCTTGGTTAAAAACTTATTTTAGACAATGTCCTAAGAACCTGTGCTTTGGGTGTTGTTCCACTCAGGGTATCTTGTGTGTTCTCTGGGGACATTTCATCAAACCTACTTGGTTCATGTAGTGCTGTAATACTTCCAAGGAGAAGGCCTTTCCTCCCATGAGGAGCCTCCAGATTGACCTAAATCACACTGATATCCAGTTTTCAATCAAGAATTTTCTTTTACTTCACTTTAAAAGCTGCCCTTTTAAAGTGGCAGTGGGAGGCCATGCACTAGTTGCTCACACACACCTGTAATACTAGCCTTTGGGGAGGCTGATACCAGAATTGCAGTTTGAAGCCAGTGTAGGCAGAGAAACCCAAGAGATTCTTATTGCAATTAGCTTGGAAAAAGCCACTAGGGATCAGTGGCTGGAATGGTAGAGTGCCAGCTTTGAACAAAAAGAGCCAGGTTAAGAGCCAAAGGCCCTGAGTTCAATCCTATTATACACAATGTCCCCCACACCCGTACCCACACACCTTCCCCAACAAACACACAAGAGCAATTAGGGAGCAAACTTGCACAAATAAAAGAAGCGGGGAGAGGGGTTCAGTATAATTTTGTGGTTCATTTTTTTCACTATTTAAATTGCTCCATTCATGATGAGAGATTGTGTTTGTGGTTTCTCAATTACATATACCTTGTTCCTTAGTTCTAGAGACAGACTGAGAGTGTTGGCAGAGAGGAGAATGCACAGAGATTGAATTCTGTTGAAGGGAGGGACTGGATGTCAGATTGGATAGGGGACAAGTGCAACTCCTCCAGCTCCACCACTGAGTGTCCCATAGTTTGACCTGGCCAATTGGCATGATGCTGTCTTTGTACCCATCAGTGTGGGGAGTGTAGGAAGACCATTGTGTCATGGAAAATGACTGTAGCTGAGGGAGTTGCAGAAGGAACTGACAGCCCACAACTGAAATAACAGGATCTCCCTTTGGGGTTCACAGCTAAGTTTACCTCCTCATGTAGAAATATCCAGTATCCAAAGGTATCACTTCCTTGGGGAGCCTACAATGAGGGGAGATAGTACAATTTCAGGAGCAATCTTGGGAGCAATTAGGGTAAAATGAAAAAGAAAATGCGTGACTCCTCTCTGAAATTCCAGAGGGTAAGAGTAACTGAGGAGAGCAAGCTGTCAGTCACTGCTGAGTTGGTAGGGTTGAGAAGGAAGGCACATTGGAGCTGGAAGTCACATGTGTATTCCTAACTATTTAAGATGCTGAGATTTGGATGATCATTATTCAGGGCCAGCCCAGGCCAAAAACTGGGTGACATCTCCTCTTAAGCTAGCAATGAATATCAACTTCACTACAACAGGAAGCTTAAAATAGGTGAGTCCAGGCCCAGACATGTACCTGGATAGGAAGCAAGACCATAACTAAAAAATGACCAGCACAAAATAGGCATATAGCTCACCTACCTAGCAAGTACAGTACTCTGAGTTCTAACACGAGTACCATGAACAAGGGTAAGCATGGTGACCTCGGTGCCCCAGTGTGATTCACTGAGATGGCTGCAGCATCTGTTGCTCTGTAGGCTCCTGCCAAAGAGGAACAGTCCGTCGACATCCCTCAATCTATGTCTACCAAGACAGCAAATGCTGAGCAGAACCCCTCACAATGGCCAAGGATGGAGGTTTGGTTGGAACTTTGGCCCCTCAAAGGGGAGGAGAGCAATGATCTGCAGGACCAGATGGCCTCCTGAGTGAGAGAAGGGCAGAAGGAGGCAATGTTGAGGTTGGTATGAGGTTTGCGTTTAATGACTAATATGGCTTCAGTGGAAATGTTCTGACTTTGAATAATATGTTTTATGACATGTGAATCAAGGGAGAGCTAGGGCAGTGAGGGAAACACACTTGTGTAAATTTTCCATAGGTTGAAACTTACTCTAAAGTCTAAGTTGTTTTTGAAAACTGAAATGTGGAGAAGTTGATAAAAGAGTACAGCTCCCCAGTACTGGCACTGTTCTCTGTAGATTTACCTGCCCTATCCATCCCTCTACTGGTGGGTACTTGTCCCCAGGGTGCCTTATACCCCATCCCAGTGTGCTGCTCAATCCAGAACAGCTGCTGTTGGGCAGGGAGGATCAGGAAGCCCTGATGCACTCATGTGCCAACAGTGCTTCCTTCCCTTGAGGCACAACACAATCCAAAGCTCTGCAGCACCCTATCATTGCTATGAATTGGAGCCACCAACACTTGGGCTTTGCCTGCATTATTCCCCCACACCTCCAGACCAGCCTTTTGGGGACTTCTGAGACCTGGAGAATACGAAAGGGAGGCCTGGAGGCAGCATCTATTCCCATTGGAGCACTGAGTTTGCCACAAGGACCTAACAGGCTGAGAATCTTGGGAATGAACAGTTCAGGGTGGCTAAACCTTGATACTCTCTGCTAACATGTCAGGCATTTACTGACATTTATATTCTAGCCCTCTGTGTCCATCAAACCATGGCCATTTGGGGTGTGTGTGTATGTCTGATAAGTCAGAAAGTGATTGGCTAGCAAACAAGAATGACCAGTGCTAATGGGTTCACATGGTTGACTGTATTGGCCCTTTATGAGAGATCTCTGGTAGATCTGAATGTGATGTTGCAGTTGACAATTCTTTCCATCAACTCATCCCTCTATTTATCATTCAATTCACATCCTACTCCCTACTTTTCCAGCTCTCTGACCAGCAGTCCAGGTTAACACTCAGTATTGTTCAGCCCTAATACTTTGACATCAAGTAGATGACCAGTGCAGTCCCATTTGGGGTTATTTTCCTCTTCTTGTCACTATAGGATGATACTGTAAGGAAGTGGTCAGTCCCCTCCTTGGCTTGCATACCCACACTGTCTGACCACAACCAATCCATTTCTATAAGCTCATAAGTTCTTAGTAAGTATGAAGGTGTCTTCTCAGAAATTGCATGCCACGTTTTAGGCTCCTGTCTTTCTTCACCTGTAGCCTAGCATACCTTCCTTGGGCAGATTACTGAGTTTTTCTGAAACTTCGCCAGCAATTTGAGAAGAGTAAGGGTTGGACTCAGGTCTCAGCCTCCTACTTTCCTGATATCCAGGAGTCCCATAAGTACAAGAGGGTATTCTGCCCTCACCTTGGAGGTCCATGTTCAGCACATGAGGGTATCGGGTCAGGTCCCATAGTGCTCCACCTGGCATTGAAATGCTGTTTTGTCCATTTTACTATGCTGTGTCCACCTATCCCTACCTGATTAAGGGTAGATCTTTAAGCTCATTGTGAGTTATTACTGAAGAAGGTGACTTGCTAACAATTAAATGCTAATTCTACCACTAAAGAATCCTTATTTCCAGGAAAATGTTAAGATCATTGTAAACAATAATCTGGGGGAATGTGTGGAGGTGCAATGGTATGGGAGGATGAGGGTCAACTAGAGGAAAGACTAAGTAAATATGGATAGGTAAACACCATCTAACCAAATGGCATTTTGGAAATGGAATCTTTGTACTGAATGTTTCAGTAGTAGAATTCTTGATGGTTCATTGTGTTTGGAAAGATTCAAATTGGTTTGAAGTCTCTGCAACATAAGCACGTGTAACTTAATATTATCAGTGTACACAACAAGTGCATGAGTATGTGAAGTTATACACATACACACACATACACAAAGTTGGAATTGAAGAGATGTTATTAGTACAGACCTGGGACTAAAGGGCCTGTGCTACCAGCAGCACAAGGTGACCTACACTATGATAGCTCTTGCTCAGATTGTATGCTCACCGTAAGCCATACTTCCAGCCCTTCTTTTGCGATTATTTTGAAGGTGGGATCTCAAGACTTTCCTGCTTAGGCTGGTCTCGGAGCCACCATCCTCCAGATTTAAGCCTACTGATTAGCTAAGATCACAGGTGTGAGCCACCAATCCTGGCCCACTGCTTGTGTGCTTAAGTGGAAAATGGTTAACAGCCTTGAATCAGCCATGTCATTCACACTCGGCAAAATTCAGGAACTCCTTTTATTGTCTTGCACATCCAATAATTTGGAAAAGTGAAAAGCACAAGTCAGGAAAGACTCCCTAGTAACAAACAGATGTGTATGGAGCTAGCTGGGAAGAAGGAAAATGGACCACCATGACAGTGTGCTGGCTAGAGACAGATGGCTCCAGTTAGACCAGATGGAGAGAACCAGATAAAGGCGTGAATAGAAAGTAAATGGAAGAGAGCGATGTTAGAGCTATTGGCTGACTTTCAAAGGGAAGAAAACAAAAAGAAGTAATGAGGCTAGTCATGGTGGTACATGCCTATGATCTGCATACAAAGGTAGCTTAGCCCAAAGTCCTACTTAGATTAGACCCTATCTCAAAAAAGAGAAGAGAAGTTACTGAGAGAACAGAGTGGAACCACTATCACCGAGTTCTCTGGACCTCAACATGTTGGCATATACTATTGAGAATATATTTCTATTGGCTAGCAGGACTAGGCTGTGGCTTCCCTACTGTATGTTGAGAAAGAAAATGATACTCTAAGATGGGAAAATTCAGTGGTCCTAGGGCCCTTCTCCTTTATCCATTCTCACTTGTCTGCCTTGAAGAACTGACTTAATATAAAGAACAAGGTTTAGTGAGATTTCTGATAAGTGTTTACTTATAATAGATCCTTTTCCCCCAAGAAGAGGCTGCTTAGTCAACCTGTGGATTAGCAGAACATTCCACACTCTTCAGATGCTCATGACCTGTCCAAGACTGTGCTCAAATGCCAGCCTCACTTAGGGTGATGTTCAGAACCTTGCAAGGCTTTCTGCTGAGGAACAGGTCCCCTGCCACTGTGTTCATCTTTTTTGACTCTCTTGAAGGGTGGTGAGTCAGGCATACCTGTGCCCTCCAGCATTTGCTCGTGTGCTCTGTGCACTGCGTGGAAGTAAAAAAGCAGTGGAAACTGTAGTGTCCTCTGGGCACTTTTCATGAAGATTTCATCTCTTGAGAAGGGAGACTCTATCCACTGCTTGTTTACCTGAAGCCCAGAAGCTCTGGGTCTGGTTTTCAGCACCGCCAGGGAAACACAGAAGGAAGTCATCATTTCAACCCATTCTCCCCTCTTCACCCTGCATGAGCATCTGAGAGCCTGTTGCTGGAATGGTAAATCCAGACACTTTCCTCTGAAACCAAAATGAAAACCTGGGACAAAATTAAAGTCAATGTAAAGTGAATAAGCATGTATCGATGTATACACTATTACATATTGTAAAAACAAAAGAATGTCCACTTCCTTCATGCAGTCATTCGAAGTCATGTGTCAGACTCACTCAGCATGGCAATAATTTTGGGAACATCAAAGTCCTGGCTGCTTTGTCTCTTATAGTTATATCCACATGGTGAAATGTGATATCCAGTAGTAATAGCTCAGCCATTAGAACATGGGCTCTGTGTCTCAGGAACAAGTCACTTTTTGTAACTCAGAGAGGAAAAGAAACCCCAGACAGCCATTCTATGCCTGGCTGACTTCCATAAGATTAACAATTACTTGGCCTTATTTATGGCTCATTTTCTTGCATATGAAGAGTTCACACATGGGAGCTGGCTTTAGAGGACAGAGTGCAGATAAAGGAAGTTAAAACAATAATCTCAAACACAAAGTAGACCTTTTCTAGTTCACATTTTTGGAGTCCATATGATTCTGAAGGAGGTTATGCCTTTCTCATAATAGCCCAGCCCATCTGCCCATTGGATCATGACTCCACACAATTCATAATTAGTGTCTACTAGCATGTGTGCCACAGGGTCTGGGATTTGTGAGTACCCATCCTCAGTGTTGACAGTGGGGGATGAGGCCCCCTCTGTCTGCTTGCATCATGTTTCACATCTCAAAACTCTCCTTCCTTTCAGGCCAATGAAACGATGCTCAGTGGTTGGAAGCTGACCACACAGGAGACTTGTGGCAAAGGCCTGGTCTCCCAGGTTTCTGGCCAGGGAAGTCATGGTTCTAGTCATGGAGCTTGCCTCCTGTAATACAGTTGTTCATGTAGTTGGTTCTTTTACATGTTAGCTTTTAAAAAATAAAATCTTGGGCTGGGAAGTTGGCTTAGTGGTAGAGTGCTTGCCTAGCATGCATGAAGCCCTGAGTTTGATTCTTCAGTAACCACATACCCAGAAAAAGCCAGAAGTGTTGCTGTGGCTCAAAGGTTAATATGTTAGCTTTAAGCAAAAAATGCTTAGGGACAGTGCACAGGCACTGAGTTCAGGCCCCAGGAATTGCAAAAATGAACAAATTGTTGATCAGCTTTTACCACTTCAGGCCATAAAAAAGGGTAACAAGGCTCAGTACTGCTGCTACAAGAGCTCATGTCTTCCCACAAACAGAGGGTAAGGCTCATGTCTCTCACTTTCCAGTACCCAGAAAACCCTCATATGGTGAATGGATCAATAAAATGTGGTATATATGTATGAGCTTACATATATATATATATATATATATATATATATATATATATATATATATATATATATATATATATATATATATATATATATGTATGTATGTATGTATGTATGAGGTTACATACATGTATACCACATTTTATGTACATATATGTATATATAGATATAAATATATACATATATGTGTGTATATGTACATATATATACATATATATAAATGTATGTATAAACACACACACAAACAGAGAGAAATCCCACTCATCCATCAGAGAGCATGATACACTACCATTTGTAATAATGTGGAAAGACTGGGAAAGCATTATATTATGGGAAGTAATCCAGACCCAGAGAACACAAGCTTCATGGTTTCCCTTATTTGTGGCTGCTAGAATGCTCCAATAAACCCAAAAGCAAATACACTCAGTTGTATACTAATAGTTACAGATGAATTAACTGAAGTATAGTAGACTCTATGAAGAGAAGAAATAGTGTGGTATTTTTTCCTCTAAAGAAATGTTTAATGGTTTGCCAAGAAAACAAAAACTCTCAAAATTTGCCTGCCAATCCATTCACTTGTTAATAACTTAGTAATTAAGGATGCTCTCACCAGAGTGGGCAAGAGTAAGCGTAGTAGTCACACACATTTTAGTGACTAAAATTCCAAAGCCTACTGACATCACAAATAAATGTATCATGTTTAAAATTTTAATCTATTTCTATTTCCTAACTTTCCACACCAAGAATTATTGTCTTACAAGGGAATATGAAAATAAAAACATCCATTTGTGGAAATGAGCATGAGGTTAGTTGTTCTTTCTCAGAAGTTTGTCTCAATGAAAACAAAGAAATAAACTTAAATGCTGGGGAAAATAAACGTTATTACTTCATTATACCATAGAAGAATGTAAACTGTGAGCAAGGTAAATATGGCAGGCAAAAATAAGGCAAATAACCGAGTTTCAGTGAAGTAAATTTCTTTTTTCTCATTGCTATCTAAAACCCTCCATCTCTGTGTTCTTCTGGTACACAGCTGAGAATCTAGCAGACCTCTTAAGGACCAAAGCAGAATGGACAATCTCCACACAGGCCAGATGAACACAGTGAGTTGACAAGTACCCAAGGAGTGGGTGTTTCAATATGGGAAACTGTTGGAATAATTATTCTTTCCTCATAATCCAGAAAAATGTTCATGCCAAGGTCCAAAAATGTCCCCAAGTCAGGCTTATAAAGGCCACAGGTGAAAAAGAAATAATCTAACATGAAAGTTAAATGTTTCAAACAGAAATGTGGTTATGCATGACTGTAATCCTAGAACTCTGCAATGTGAGGCAGGAGGATCTTGACTTTTAGTCCAGCTAGGCAATAAAGCCAGGTCTTGCCTTAGGAAGCTGAGGTTTCCTACTATCACTTGCCAAAGAATAACTACTTGCACTAGAAGCACCATCTGAGATTTCCATGGCACCCTGTCCATCTTCACATTCATTGCCTTTACTGGTTTCTTCTCTGTCACCATTTTCTAGTCAATCAACTACAGTTCATCTTCCTTGGCCCTATCTTCTGCACACAAATTGCTCCTGCCAACAGTGCCAATCCTATTGTTTCTCTGTATTTTAAACAGTGTCCTATCTTCATCTGATTGATCATTTTCACTGGATCTCCATGGTATACTTGTGAGCTCAATTACTAGATGTGGTTGTTTCTTTGGTCTTGGAGATAATTCAATATTTCAATAATTCAATATTTCAGATGTCCTGAAATCCCTCTCCAAACTTGAGCCATGCTTCAGAGAGGGAAGCAGCAGCTGTGCCCACTCTCCTAAGACTTGCTCTTCTGACCTGTGGTGGACTCTTGTGAAAAGGATGGGTACTCTATGTCCCACTTCCTTTTCCACTTGGATCTGCTGGTGCCATCACCAGAGACGTGGTATCAATCAATGATAATATACTTGTTTGGAGAGAATAAGACAAAAACCAATAAAGGAAGCACAAGGAAAGTATATGGTGTTCAGTGTGAAAATAGAAAATTCATAGTGAAGCAAAATTTATGCAGGTTAAACCTTCATTTTCAGAGGCCATGAAGGTCAAGCCATCATACTAGTTCTTCATGTCTGTGTGTAACATTTATCCTCATGCTCTTCTGTGGTCATGTAGATCATACGACCACCAGGAGTCACTCGAAGTACAGGATACATTTGGTGCAGGGGTGGAGGGGTTCTCCTGGAGGCCTTTTTTGGCACTGACAGGCCAGTGATGAGGGCAAGAAGGAGACAGCAGTAGTTGCAGGGATTACTGCCAATTATTAGATATTAAATTATGTCTCCAGCCGGGCGCTGGTGGCTCATGCCTGTAATCCTAGCTACTCAGGAGGCTGAGATCTGAGGATCGTGGTTCAAAGCCAGCCCGGGCAGGAAAGACCGTGAGACTCCTATCTCCAATAAACCACCAGAAAACCGGAAGTGGCGCTGTAGCTCAAGTGGTAGAGTGCTAGCCTTGAGCTGAAGAGCTGAGGGACAGCGCCCAGGCCCAGAGTTCAAGCCCCACGACCGACCAAAAAATAAATAAATAAATAAATAAATAAATTATGTCTCTATTTAATGATGCGTCCCAGTTGAGCAATTAATAAAGCATTAATTAATAATTACTCAATATCCTGTTCTTGTTTATTATATATGTACATATATACATATATTTACATATTTTATAGATTGAGGCAGATATCTATATATAATTAAATTATACATCATGTGTCACTACCTATTATTAGGTATTTAATTATGTCTCCATGTAATTTTTATTCTGGTAATGCTTAATAAAATATTAATAAAACTTAACACACTTCCTATAATTGTTGCATCTAATTTAATCTAGAATGATTCACTAATTCAACCCTTTATCATTTATTGTAGTGACAATTATTCCACCTATGACATTTATTACATTTATGACATCCTATTACATAGCATATAGATTTGCATCCAAATTATACATCCTAACTGACACTGAGCACTTTCAAAGAAAAAGAAAACGTGTCATGCTCAGCTTCTCACTCCAAGATTATACTTTTGGCAGTGCTGGGATCTAAATTCAGGGCCTAGAAGTTCATGAATGAGTGATTGTAAGCACAGCAGCCAATTCAGCTCCTAGGCAATTCCCAGGCCCTGAAATCAAGCCCCATATGTTGACTCCATATTGTGCTTAGTGTATCTATTCACTAAATTTTTTCTTTTATGCATCTATTTGCCATTTATTTTATTGACTGTTATTACACATGGAATATTTATTACATCTATTACAGAGGATATAGATTTGCCTATGTATGAAACTTCACACCTGACATCCAAGACTTTCACAGAAAAGGAAAACATGTGTCACCATGGGCTTCTTACTCCATGATTCAATTTTTGTGAGTGCTGGCATCTGAACTCACAGCCTACAAGGCCCAATGCATGAATGGGTGAATGTCAGCACGCCAGCCTGGTGCATACTGAGCCCACAATTAGTTCCCAGCACCTGAGATCAAGCCCCAGGGTTTGACAAAATAAGAACAGATTGACATGCAGATGGTAGTACACAAATAAATATAGATCTTTATAGAGTGCCAGAGATGTCTATATAATATTCAGTTATATATGCTACATTACTACCAATTATTGGGTACTTATTATGCCTCCATGTAATTAATATTGTTTTCATCCTTAATGAATTATTAATTAAATCAACCA